AAGACCTTCTATAGAGTTACTTCATGAGAAAGCAGCCACAACAATCATTCTACGTGTTCATCTTCTTTTCTATCTTTCTTCTGATAGATGCCCTGGGCAGCACTCAATATGGCAAGCCCTCTCCTTAGTCCTGTATAGAGGACAGAGACCGATGGGGCTTGGCAAATTTTCAGAACTATAAAAATATAGTATTGAGTAGGATAAATAAACCTGAAGCAATCATCCACATTTCAAACTGTACTTGAACAAGTTGAGTTTCAATTACTTGGTTTGTTTTTTCAGATAAATAAGGATAAACTTGACTGAATAATTATGATGTTACATCAGAATAAAGCAATGTTTTGTGGCCAAGACAATGAGTTCTACGTTCACAGAGAGCAATCCCCCTGGTAGCTAATAGAAGAAATTCCAAGTGGTGTCAAGGGTAATGGTCTCAGGGGACCACACAATTCTCATTAGATGTTACAGGAAACTTGTCTCCAGATATAAAGAGTAAAGGAGTTTTACTCTATTTTTATGAGAAACTTGGTAAGTTCAGACATAGAGAGAATGCATCACAGGGATTCTAAGAGCAAAAGAGCTTAAAAACTTATCCCTAAATATTACAGAAAGAACTGTAGAAAATGGTGCATTAGCAATGAATTCCTCATACACTGTAATGTTTTTTTCTTTTTAAAAAATTGGAAGTGAATTCTCTTGGCATAAGGAGGGAATTTTATTTTCTATTTCTACTTAACCATGAACATTGTGTTCTGTCCCTTAATAATCAAGTCGCTGTGGGTGTTAATCAACAGTTAAACATATTGAAAATACCAAGAATACACAGTTGGACTGAAGATAGATGTTATTGTTTTTCTATTCCTGGCATAATTAGCACACAGGCAACAGCAACAAGGAGGTGAGAAATCTGCAAACTGAGGATAGGACTGCAAACGCTAGACCAAAGCAAAGTGCGCCAAGAGGGACTGACAGCACCCAGCCAGCTAAGCAGAAGAGCTTGTACAGTGATACAGGCAACTGTGAGCAGGTAAGTACTGCTGAGCACCTGTGGGAAAGCTGTTTGTAAACCACGTGACATTTTAGCAAGTGGAAATAGAACTAGCAGGTACTGGGCACTTAAAATCTGATAGGTCTATATGCACAGTGCTGTAACCCTGCAAGGAGGTATATGAAGGGCCATGTTACACAGGAGATGAATGGTTATCAGGGAAATTAAATTACTGTATGTAATTTGTATGTAATAGAAGCAGAGCATGGATTTGAACCTAGGCCTCTCTAATTCTGCTCAATTCACTATCTCATTATTAAATAATTCCTGGTCTAATCTCAAGACTAATGAGGTGAATTTCATTGTATCAAAAGAATTAAGCAGGAAAGAATAACGAAAACCATGTATAAAATTCTTCTGCAATTTCCATATTTCACTCATTATTTAATTGTAAGTTTTACTGTAAACCACTGGCAATTTGATTCTTTGTGTCTCTGCACATCCCTCTCTGGTTTTCATTTGATCACTCACTACAACTTCAAACTTATGCACTTGTGATTTATAAAGCAACAAGTAAGCATTTCTTTGGTGGATCTAATATACCCTTACTGAAAGAACTAAGAAAAAATATATATATACACATATACATATACACACATATATGTGAACTTGGAAAGCCCTGTATAACCAGAAAAAAATATGAGCCTCATGAACCTATAATTTACATAAGTTTTGTTAAATTTTCCTCAGAATTCATACCTAAAACTCAAGAAAACATACTCCTTTACTCTCTCACCCTGTGGCCAATTGTGATCTCAAAATACTAAAGGGAAAATTCCATAAATAACAATTTCATAATAAATTGTGGGCCATTCTGAGTAGCATGATGAAGTCTCACACCATCTTATTCTGTCCAGCCTAGCACATGAATCACCTCTTTGCCCAGCAAACCCACGCTGTATATGTGCTATCTCTCACCCCTAGTTAGTTACTTAGTAACTGTCTTGGTTATCAAGTAACTGTCATGGCACCATAGTGCTTGTGTTCAATTAACCCACATATTACTTAATAATGGCCCAAAGCACAAAATAGTGATGTTAGCAATTCAAATATGCCAAAGAGAAGCCATGAAGAGCTTCCTTTATATGAAAAAGTATGTAAGTATATATGTGTAGGAAAAAACATAATATATATTGGGCTCAGTGCTAGCTGCAGTTTCAGGCATCACTGGGGGTCCTGGCACATACCCCTGTGGATAAGGGAGGACTACTGCATCTTTTATGAAAATCATAGAAAAGCTAGCCCAAAGCTGACTTTTATTCTGATTGGGTTAAAAGAACATTGAATGCACTTTTCCAAAGACTTGGTAATAAATATTCCCATTTCTCCACCTTTGAACATTGCCCATAAGCTGACATGAAGTGTAGCCACCAGAAAAAGGCTCCAGTTCAGTCTCGTGGGGAATGATGGGTGACATAATGGTCCCCGGGGTTCCCAGCCTGGTCATGGTTTTGATGTATCTCTTGGAAGGTAGACTGGTTTCCAGTGTCCACTGTTCAGGGTTTTGAAGTGGTATAATTGGGCAGGAGAGCCTACAAGGTGGCTTAATATCAAGAAGTAGCCCCGAGTTCCTGTAGGTCTCACTGATATTCAAAGAAATCGGACATGCTAAGTCCACTAGATCTCTCGGCAAGGGTGGGGCACGAATAAACTGGAAACAGGTTTTTCGGGGAAAGATGTTAATTTTGACCTTTTTAGTCTACGGATGTGTATACCCCACGGGGGGCTGGGCCAGAAAACATCTGCCCCAAACTCCATCCCTCTGAGAGTGACTAGAAGTCATGGGAATGGTGACATGTTGACATGTTCTCAATTACTAGTTCCCTTGAGTATCTGGAGGACAGTAGGATTTATTATCAATACAAATGGAAAAAGGAAGTAACAGAATCACAGTGAGTTTCAAAACCTAAACATACCAATTTCCCCTGAAGTTTTTCTTTTCTCTCCTTGGAAAGATCTGCCAGAAACTTGTAAAGGATGTAAGATAGAATATATCTCTCAAGAAGACTGCTGTGGTGACCGTGGTGTGCTCCTTGTTATAGGAGCAGTTATGACAATCATGTGTTATTTGACACTAGAGAGAATGAAGTATATTGTTTAGGCTAGAAAGTAAGTCTTCATTGCTTTGTTTCAAGGAAACCACTCAGAATAGTTTACAGAGTTGCTCTTTTTGGGGGAGGGATACATTTTATTAGTTAAACAAGTATGGATTAAATATAGGTACATAGTTATCCCATTGCTAGGTGATATGGCTATATCTTAATGGGTATTGAAATGTATTGAAGGAGGCAGCCAATAACCTTTAGCACATGTCCAAATTAAGTGAATGCTAAAGAGAGAAAACAATGTGGATGGAAAGAATTAGTCAGTGCACCTAAAAAACAAACAAGTGAGCCTTCCTGGGGAAGACGGCACCCCATTTATTGTTGAGCTCTCATCGCCCAAATGCGTGTATTTACCAGGTTATGCTGCAAGTACGTGGACAAATTGGTAAAACAGCCCTCACTTTCATTCTCTTGATGGCATTTTGGTCTATCTGAGATGGAAGAGGTAATTTGTCTTATTCCATGTTACATTTCCCACACATGGAATTTACTAACACATCATAGACATTAAATAAACATTTGTGAAAATAACGTATGAGCCTTGGGTAGTAAATTAAGTAAAGTGTACCTTAGTTTCAATTTTTGTGACATCAAGATTGAAATACTTAATATGCAGATTTCTTGGGAGAAATTTAGTGAGAAAATTATATTAAACACAGAGTATTGACCAGCACATTTCAGATGCTGAGTAAATACTGCTTATCTGACATGTCTCCTTGTGTATTTTTTGCCCAGCAATTCAGTACATAAACACACACACACACACACACACACAAACTTTGCAGCTAAAGGTACAGTTTCTTCAAGCTTTGTATATGCTACAAAATACTTTCCATGGTGTCTCTACCATTCTTTCCTCAACCGTCAACTCCACATGCATGTCTTCTCACTTTTTTCCTTTCCTTCCTTGACAACAGTGCCTGAAACCAACCACACATTGTACGGAAAGTCTCACACTCAGCAGAGTGGATGTTTAAGAACTCATGAAAATGGCCTGGGGAACTTAAGTTCTAATAATAGCTGTGCGGCAAAGCAGCCCTTTTCACCAGTATATCATTAGAAAATATCCTGGAAATTTTCCTGAAAGCTCAAGAATTAATCTGACATCATGAACACACATGAGCCATCTAGGACGGGGATAGTATCTCCATAACCATTGCCTTCAAGATCTGCATGAATGGGAGACAGTTGTCAAACACCTCCAGCCTCCACTAACTGTCACGGATAGAAAGCCAGCACAAATTTCAAAACAGTAAATTCATTTATTAGCTCTGTTCAATGACATAATTGTTGGCCAAGAAGCCACTGCTTTCTGGGGGATCACCTCTGAAGACAGTATTACTTTCCAAGAATGTTTGGAAGCCATTCAAAAAGAATTTACCTCTTAAATTCACACTGATTCAGTCAACGTTGTTGGGCACTTCTGTATGCCAGACTATAGTTAGATTACACATAAACATTTTACATCTGCTTCCCCTCATACTCTTGTAGGCGAGAAAATAAGCGTTCTTTACTCATTTCCCTCTTTCCTGCAGATACTAACTGCAGAGGAGGGGGATAAAGAAGTGATAAATAAGGGTTATTCCCAGGATATAGTTAGCCATACTTTATGACATTTATATAGACCTTCCTACTAGAACCTTTCTCATTCCTCTGTATCCTGACCTTGAATTCATCCTGGTGCATTTAATTCCCACTGCTCAGGAGCTCTCATGGACAGCTGTCTTGCCATTGTCTGGGAACCCTTGATTAAAGTCCAGATGACATCAGTGCTTTTTATAATCTTATCAGAGTCTTGACCCCAAGGATATCTGCATCTGTGGGAGAGTTACTGAGCTTGCTAGACGATGGGCAATCGTACCACAGTGAATACATTCCTTCTGTGGGGATTTTCCAGTTTCCCAGACCTGCAGGGTCTCCTCTTTGTGATGATCTTCTTCTGCCATGTGGCAATATTAGTTGCAAATGTATCCATAATGGTGGCTATCAAGCTCAGCCACAACCTTCACATCCCGATGTACTTTTTCCTCTCTGGCTTGTCCTTGTCAGAAACCTGTACCACTATAGTAGTCATTCCCCGAATGCTAGTGGACTTGCTATCAGACAGCAAGACCATTTCTCTCCCTGAGTGCGCCACACAGATGTTCCTCTTCCTTAGCTTGGCAGGCAACAACTGCTTCATCATGGTTGCCATGGCCTATGACCGTTACACTGCCATTCACAACCCGCTGCACTACTCCATCCGCATGACCCACAAGATCTGCCTTCGGATCATGATGGCCTCTTCTGTCACTGGGATGGTGGTGTCTCTCTGTATTGTCCTCATTGTATTCAACTTGTCTTTTTGTGACTCCAGCATCATCCAGCACTTTTTCTGTGACATCCTACCGGTAGCCTCCCTTGCCTGTGATTACACTTTGTTTCAGAAAATGATCCTTCTTGCATTTACTTCCTTTGTGTTAGTGGGCAGCTTCACTTTAATTATGATTTCCTATGTCTTCATTGTGCTCATAGTTGTGAAAATGCCCTCTGCAAAGGGGAGGTATAAGGCCTTTTCTACTTGCTCCTCTCACCTCACTGTGGTGTGCATACATTATGGGTTTTCTGGCTTTGTACATTTGAGACCCAAGAACAGCGATTCATTTCATGAAGATATGCTGATGTCTGTGACATATACAGTGCTGACTCCCCTGCTTAATCCCATAGTTTACAGCCTAAGAAACAAAGAAATGCAAATAGCTCTAGGGAAAGTACTAGACAATGTCAGTAGGTTTTTCTCTCAGATGGTAAGTAAAAGAGCCTTGAACACTTCTTAAAACATGTGCATCCACTGACTGGTGTGGCTCAGTTGGTTGGGCATCGTCCTGCAAAGTGAAAGGTAGACAGTTCAATTCCTGGTCAGGGTACACACCTGGGTTTCAGGCCCAGAGGGCCCAGTCCGTGTTTGGAGCACATGAGAGGGGAAAATGTTCAATGTTTCTCTCTCACATCAATGTTTCTCTCCCTCTCTTTTTCCTTCCCTTTCCCTCTCTCTATAAATAAATAATATCTTTTAAAAATGTATAGAGCATTGATGTATAAAGGTGAAGAAAGTATAGTATTTCTAATAAAAATTAGCACTTTATGTACAAAGCAATTAAAATGTGTTCTATTTGTCTGATATGCTCTGGCCTCCCTCCTTTCCTACTACAAACTAGAGGTAGTTTTAAAATATTTTTCACTATTCATCAGAGAAACAAATTAAGCCACAACATATATCACCTCCAAGCTGTCAGAATGGCTACCATCAATCAATCAACAAAAAGCAAGTGTTGGTAAGGATGTGGAAAAAAAGGAACCCTACTGCACTGTTGGTGGGAAAGCACATTGGTGCAGCCAGTAAAAAGAAATCTTTGGAAAAATTAAAAATGGAACTGCCTTATGATCTAGTGATTCCTCTTCTGGGGATTTATCCAAAGAGACCTGGAACACTAATTCTAAATAATATGAGCACCACTATGTTCACTGCGTCGTTACTTACAATTGCCAAGATAGGGAAGCAGCCCAAGTGTCCATCAGTAGATGAGTGGGTAAAACAATTATGGGACATTTACACAATGGAACACTACTTGGCTGGGAAAAAGGAAGAGATCTTACCCTAATCAATGGCATATATGGACCAGGAGGCTATTGTGTTAAGTGAAATAAACTAGTTAGAGAAAGACAAGTACCACATGATTTCACTCACTTGTGGAATCTAATGAACAAACTGAACTAGCAAGCAAAATAGAGACAAGACTCATAGATGGAGAGCAGGCTGACAGCTCTGGGGGTGGGGAGTGTGGTGCTGGGTTGGTGGTGGGGGGATTGAGTAAAAAAGAATAAAAAGAGAAAAATACTCATGAATATAACAACAGGGTGGTGACTGCTGAAGGGAGTGGAAGTGGTGTGAGGTGGAGGATGGTATAGAGGGAAAAATGGTGATGAACAGAGACTTGAGTTGGTGGTAGTGAATGTACAATACAGTGTACAGATTATGTGTTGCAGAATTGTGCACCTGAAACCATGTATAATTTTGTTGACCAATGTTACCCCAATAAATCAGTAAAAAGGGAAAAATAAAATATTTAAAATTTTTTTACACATATGTGTGTGTACATATGCATATACACATGCACACATCTATGTAGCAAACACATCAAAAATGCTTTGCAACAATGAATTTTCATAATTTTGGTTGGCTTTGGAGGAGGAGAAAAACTAATCTAAAAAGAAAAAAATGAAAGAGGTAAAGACAGAAAGAAAGAAGAAAAGGAAAGAGATCACTAATCTACTTGAAAAGTGGGAAAGTAGAAACACAAATTTAGGGTTGCAGTGAGTTAAAGACCACAAAACAGAAATTTCAAAGAATTTTAAGAAAGTATATATTTTCAACTCTATTTATTAGAACCTAGATGGGAATGAATTAGTATCTGGAAAAATAAATTGGTGAAAGTTACTACAAAATAAATAAGCATTTTTAACATATCAAATTCCAGGAATAATATAGAAAAGTCACTGAAAGAGCTATTCTTCCTATCCTCCAACAAAGGGGTAGGGCTAGATGGTTTCATAATTAACTTCTTGAAGTCCTCAAAAAGCAACAATTACAATAGCCAAGTGTTGGAAGCAACCTAAATGCCCATCAGTGGATGATTGGATCAAAAAATTATGGCACATTTACACAATGTAATACTACGCAGCAGAAAGAAAGAGCTACGAAACTTCGCGATAGCATGCATGGAACTAGAGAGCATTATGCTAAGCGAAATAAGCCAGGGGGCCAAAGACAAATACCATATAATCTCACCTATAGGTGGAACCTAATCAACAAAACTATGATGCAAGGAAAATAAGACCAGCAACACTGAAAGGAAAAGAAACGAACAGAGACAAGAGGGAAGGAGGGGCGGGGGAAAAGGAAGGGAAGGGGAAAGTCAAGGAACATATAGCAAGGACTCATGGACAAAACCAAAGGGGAAGAGTTGAGGGAGGGGGCAAGGGAAAGTGGTGGGGGAAAGGCAGAGACAAATGTATTTGAAAAAATAAATTAATTAATTTAAAAGAAAAAGAAATGCTATTTAAGTTAGACCACAAAGACAAATAGCTTCTAATTTATACAAACCACAGAGGTGAAGGTGACTTACATAACTGAGTTTAACTGAGGCAAATGTAGTAAGTTCTCACATGGATTGTGGAAGATATTGGATGCTGTAAGGAGGTCTGGGCATTTTGAGGTCACACTGTCTAATGCTACATTCATGTGGTGTGAAGTTACCAATGCTGTGGCAGGACTGAGGGACTCAGAGGGATCAAGAAGCCAGTGACAAAGTCTTTAGTAAATGAGAAGAAACTGGGTGGTCAATAAAGAACTCTGAGAACAGCAGCATTTTGTTCCACAGCTGGATAACATTGATGTCAGTGAGTAAATTGTTTTGTCATTGAGATTGCAAATAAATGATTTAGAAATGTGGTAAGGAGCTAGGACAATGTGAACAATGTTTAATGGTGCCTTAGAACAGGGGAGGAGGCGAGGTCTCTTCAACACAATTGAGAAGCACATAGATCCTTCTCAGGCAATCAAGTTCAGTTAAGATGAAGAAATAGGGAGTGTACTCTGCAGAAAGTGGATGAGTGGAAGGGAGAAGTCTTCAAAGGGAAAGTAAAACATATTAGGAGAAATTCCAGCAAAGAAAGAAGATTCCAAAAGAGAAGCACAGGTTATACTGGAGTGAATGCAGGTGAGGAGCTGCCGCAGGGCTTGCAACTGGGATTCTTATCATACCTTCAACTCTTTACAGGTGGTCAGAGCCTAGTGCATCTCCAGGTCCCATTCTTTGTTCAACACTGAATCATAATCTGACTATAGGTTCTCTGACCAGCCTTTACATAATCTTCTCCATTTCATTTTCACAAACATGCCCTGCTTAGTGTGAAATTCTGTCTCCTCACATAATTATCATAAGCTTTTTCATTTCATTAATTAAGTCTCAATTGTGATCACATGGGATTTATCCCTGGCCATATGGTTAGTTTTACATATGCAAGTCAATCTGTGTGATACACCATAGTAACAGAACGAAAGATAAAAACCACATGATCATCTCAATAGATGTGGTATGTATATGCAGTGAAATATTATTCAGCCATAAAAAGATGGAAATCTTGTCATTTGTGACAACACTTATGTTCCTGGAGACATTGTACTAAGTGAAATAGGCCAGACACTGAAAGAAATACATTACATGATCTCACTTATATGTAGAATCTAAGAAAGTCAAATTCATAGAAACAGAGAATAGAACAGTATAGTTGCCAGGGTTGGGGAGGTAGAGAAAATGGGGATATGGTCAAAGACTACAAAGTTGCTGTTATGTTGGATGATTAAGTTCTAGAGATCTAGTATACAGTATAATAACTGTAGTTAATAATGTTTTATTTTATACTGGAAATTTGCTAAAAAAAATAAATTTCAGGCGCTCTCACCATTTCCCCCCCAAAAAGAAAAGGTAACTATGAGCAGAGATGAATATATTAATTAGCTTGACTCTGTCAATCATTTCACTATGTGCATGCATGTCAAAACATCATGTTTTATGACTTAAATACATACAATTTTTGCTAAATAAAACATTAAATTTCTTGACAGATAAAAAATCATAGCAACTAGCACTTTATTCATACCACTGAATGGAAACCATTTCTGAAATAAATGTTCTTTTGATTATTTTTAACTTCTTGAAAGAAAAGCACATGCTCTATTCGACCTTGTTTCTTCCGTTAATAACTTAGTGCTAGGAATAAAAGAGACACTACATAAATAGTCATTGAATTAGAGTTACTGTTTAACCAAAATATATTTGTTAAATGCTTGCTCTGTACCAGAAACTGCACTTTGAGCTGAGGGTCATTAGCTCAGCCTCCCACATCACTGCTTTCACTCACCCACCGAAGTTTCTGCAGCTGCATTTATAACTCTCTGGCCACTTTACTTCTAGTTTACTTTATGTCTCCATTTAAATGTCATTTCCCCAGTAAACCTTCCTTATGCCTCAAAAGTGAATGCATTTGCCAAATGATATCATAAGAAATAGAGACTAAGCAAAAAGCTACCGTGTGGGGCTTTTGGCAGTGTAGGTTTTAGGGAGGTGAGTACCTAGAAGTTTGAGGTCATGGATGCCAAGGCAGCTAAACTTGTGAGGCCAAGATCCTGGAAAAGAAAAAACTGTTGAGAAGGGAGCCTGTAATTTCTCATTAAGGAGTTTGACTGCTCCCACACTGCACATGGGCTGGTGTGATATCAAAACAGCACGTGGAAAGCAACCTGGGTGAAGCTGAAGATCTTAGCAGAGATTTTGGTGTTTTGCAGTGCTGGTTTGGTAGAGTTTGTTAATAGGCAATTTAAGGTAAAGGAGTCCCATAATACCTTATGCTTTTATTTGAGAGACCTGAAGAGCTATACCTTAGGAGTAATCACTACATCCTAGAAATAAGGTCAAACTGGATACAAAGAAATGGGAAGATATTCCATGTTCATGGATTGGAAGGATTAACATTGTTAAAATGGTCATATTACCTGAAGTGATATACATATTTAATGCAATCCTCATTGAAATTCCAATGGCACTTTCACAAACTTAGAACAAAAAATTCTCAAATTTGTATGGAACCACAAAAGACCTCAAATAGCCAAAGAAAAACAGAGGGGAAAAAGAAATGCTAGAAGTACCACATTCCCTGACTTCAAATTATTCTACAAAGCTACAATAATCAAAATAGTATATGGTATTGGCAGAAA